CCCCCCCCCCCCCCCCCAGAAAGGCATACTCCCCTCTCCCTTTCTCTCTGCTGGAGGGGTCCACCCTGAGTAAGCTCTTGTATTGGAGCTTACCTGGGTAGATGACTTTACTGCGCCCTGTGACCGTGTTTGGGCTTAGTAATTGGCTGTTTAGGATCAAATACAAGGAAGGTAGGTACCACATGTACCCTACACCTGTAAGCCCCGCTCCATTAGAACAACAGAGCAAGGTCTCCGATAGACTGTGAATGTGACAAGAAGGCCAATGAGCAGGGAGTTACAATAGTCAAGACGAGAGATAAAAAGGGAGTGGATGAGTAGTTTTGCGGTTTCTTTGGTGAGGAAGGGGCGTATTTTTGAGATGTTACGAAGGTGAAGGTGGCAGGATTTGGATAGCGATTGGATGTGGGGAAGAAAGGTGAGGTCCGAGTCAAGGATGACACCTAGGACCTTGGCATGAGGGGAGGTTTGGATAGTTGTGTTATCAATCTCAACTGAAATGTTGGGGGAAGGTGCACGGGCGGGAGAAAATATCATGAGCTCAGTTTTTGAAAGATTGAGTTTTAAGAAATAGCTTGCTCAGGGCGGGTAGGCAATCATGAATTACTGTCACTTTGCTCATTCATGGGATGGGTGTCTCTCTTAACATCAGAACAGATGGCTTGGTTTGTCTGTATTTTAGGGAACGTACAAAAAATTATATTATAGTCATAGGTTGAGGCTAGTGGGCTGAGTCAGGCTTTGGCTTCTTATATGTCTTGCATACTTAACAGGCAGTCCTCCCCCCTTGTTATAATTTCTCTCTGGTTTGGAGTTTTGCATGTTCCTTGTTGTCCATCCTTGTATGTTCTAGCTCCCCTTGCTGTATTCTTCTTAAAGCCGACCTTTCCCCCCATGGCTAAAAATCTTATCAGCATGCAGTTCTGTATGGTGATATGAAATCATCTTACATTAATTAGTTAAACAAACTTTTTTTTATTTTACTTACAATTTCTTGTTTTATACTTCCTGGTTCTCTTTGTCAAAGGTGATGTAATGTGCCCAAGTGTTGCATCCTGGGAAGGTTACATCAGCAGTGCGATCTCAGGGAAAGGCATTTTCTTGAGATGATGTGCCTGGTCACATGTCCTGGTCACATGTGCCAGAGTTCCAGGAAGTAAATAGAGATGGATTAATCTGCCCTTAGTAAAAATGGCCACTGTGAGAAGAATGAGGAGAATTAAAATAAGATATGCAAAGAATAAATAAAGAATTAATCCTGCAATTATCTATAAGTATCTGTTTGTAGATTTCGATTACTAATGATTTCTATTCTAAAGGTGCCTTTGTTGGAATTTTGAAGATATGGGTCACGTTCCCTTAAAAAGGCCACCGAAGCTTGCTGCATAATACAGCAGCTTCAGCAACAAAAGGACCATATTGATTGTAAGAAGAATGTTTTTGTTATCTAATCTACCTATTTAAAGGGAATGCATATTGTTTTTGTTTATTCTTTCTTCTTGACCAAAACCAAACATTTTTATATTTTTGTAGCCAAATTTTGAACATGAGTATTTACCACTTGCGTCCAGCAGCTGTTGCAATCAAATCAGTTATCCATCGTCAGCCATTTGAACACTTTGCTGTGAGTAGAGTGAAATTTGGTACTCTAAAGACATGTTGGTGGTTATTTGGCCCCTATCTAAATTGGCCCTGATATTTGTTCATATGAGCTAGAGCAGGGGTGTTCATTAGGTAGATCGTGATCTACCAGTAGCTCTCAAAGCTGATGCTGGTAGATCACGAAGGGTGTGAATGGTGGCCCCTTTTATTCCATGTTGGTATATTTATTTAGTTGTGCACACATGATTACCTATTAGCCTGAGTCTGCTGAGCCAAACTCCCTGACACCTTTCTGGTGGATTCTGGGGGTTGAGGTGCTATGTATTACATCAAAGAATATTAGTTTACACAGTCTGTTGCACTGCACTGTTTGCAAAATACAGCAAGGTGAGCCAGGAGAGAGAGCAAGGAGAGACAGCCAGGAGAATGCCAGGAGAGAGAGAGAGGAGATGTAGCCAAGAGAGCGAAGAGAGACAGCCAGGAGAGAAAACGAAGAATGACAGCCAGGAGAGAAAACGAAGAATGAAAGCCAGGAGAGAGAGAGAGCGAGGAAAGACAGCCAGGAGAGAGAGCCAGGAGAGAGCAAGAAGAGACAGCCAAGAGAGAGACCAAGGAGAGACAGCCAGGAGAGCAACGAGAGACAGCCAGGAGAGAGAGAGCGAGGGAGGTTTTTTTTCTGTTGATAGATCTCATGTAGCTCGTCATTTGAAAAGTAGATCATAACACGAAAAATTGTGGGCACCCCTGAGCTAGAGACTTTAGCTTGTAAGCTTCTTTTTCTGCTCGTAATTAAAGTAATATAAAAGACCAATTTATATACTTAGTAGATACTAAAAAACAAAAAGTCATTATTAATAAACACTCTAGTCAATACTTAAAGGAGAACTATCGGGTTAAGGCTTTTCCCCATAGTTCTCCTTAGGGTAACAGGAGGACACAAACTAGCGTCCTCCCGTCACCCTAGGCTCAGTATACTGTGAGCTGTAGCTAGCGGTATCCTGAGACGCCGAAGTATAGCGCGAGCTGCTGCTCACGGTATACTAAGACGCCGCAGCTGAAGCGGATCCCGACAATTATGTCTGGATCCGCCCAGCTGCGTATCTAGAGGCAGAGCCAGCTTTACCCGCCCCCTCCCCCGTCCGTTCCGCCAGTCAGCGCTGGCGGATCGGAGCGGGGAGGGGGGAATCCAGCCCCTCCCCTGTCCCGGCCGAGAGCCGTGACAGGATCTAGAGGTGAGCAAACTACGGTATGTGTTCGCTCACCTCCTGATCTACTGAGCCGACCTGTGACAGTTTCATTGTCACAGGTCGGCTAGAACTATGAGGTGAGTGAAAAGCACTCACCTCATAGTTCTCCTTTAAAGCTGACCTTGAACTACAAGCAAGGTCTGCTTATTTATTCAATCCCCCATAAAAACAGAGTGGAGGAAAATATGTTAGTAAATTACCTTACTCTGGCCTCTTTACTGCAGGGGTTATGTTATCATCCTCCTGACAAGATTCTTGGGAATGCTGAGTACTTAGAGCAAACCTGGTCCAAACCTAAGCTCCACCGAACAAGGAAGTACCATGGAAACGTACAGCCAATCAGCTGCGGTGTGGGCATTCAATGGGCTAGACACCCGCAGGTGCATGTAAACAAAAGGGTTGGGATGCTTGTGCTGATGTAATTTACCTAATATGGCCACGTTGCCATATTAGGTAAATGCCATTTACCAAATATAGGCATGTAACCATATAAGGTCAATAAGGTCACTGCATCCCACTCCTTTGCAGGAGACTCCCGGAGCTTCCGGGAGAGTTGAGATGTCTGGCTTGCATCAAGATGCGGGTGGGGAATTCCCCACCCACAGCTTATTAGATGGCACAGAAGGAACTTCCTTCCGTGTTCGGGTTCAGTAGGAACTCCTTCTGGGTTTGGAGTAGCACAGATTCGGACCGGTTCAGAGATCATCCCTACTGAGTACCCTAAATCTTGCGAGAAGACACTTCAGCAGGAGCATCTTTCTACAAGCTTTAGAATACTTAGTATTCCTGGGGATCTCACTGGAAAGTTGGTGACATCACCCTTGCTCCCCACAAGTGTTTTGGCAAGTACGAGGGGAGGGGTGAGGGGAGTTGGGGGGGATAAATAAGTGAACCTTACATGTTTAGTTCTTACCAAACATTTTGGCCTTTGCCTTTGTACTTAATTTATACTTGCTGCTTCCTGCACATGTAGACACTGATTGGAGAAGAAAAATAAAATGACAGGACCTCTTTACTATACAGGGAACATGAATGACCTAAAAGAGTTTCTATACTAAAAACTATCACTCATTTGGCTCCCTGGTAGAGTTGTTGGAAGTTGGTGGAAAAAGTATACGAGACTTGTTTCACTTTTCCCCTAAAGTGCAACAGAAGTCAAGCTTTGGAAAGGGTGGAGAGGAATTGCAACCCCTATCAGGTTTTTATAGTTGTCTGTGTCCCCATCAGGGAAATTCACCCTCTATATTTGCCCTGGTCACCGTTATCACTGCAAGTAAAAGGAAATCCCAAATTTTGGGTTGTCACCAGAACAGGAATGGAAAAGAAATCTTCCAACGCAGACACTAGTTCTGGTGACTCTGCTGACCACCAGGTATATCCTACTCTTTCGAGGGATTTCCTCTGACTACCTGTTGTGGCGGTCAGACAGGAAGTGAAGAGAAATCCCCCAATGAGGTACAGAGGGCAAAAAACAATGATGGGTTATAACCCTCCCGTACTTAAAAAGACGTTTTGGCTGCAGTTCTGCTTTAGTAGCTAATAACGTTGTGGTTTTTTTCGGGGAGGGTGAGTTAGCTAATAATAACCCCTTAAACCTCAATGCCATGCCTTATTTTAAAAGAGGAAATATTTTCAAATCTTGCCAACCTGGAAATGATGGGTAGACATACCCTAAAACAAAGCAACATGTTATTTTGTGACAATGATGTCAGCTGTGTGCATTCTAAATAGTTTGTGCAGTGAAACTGTAAAGTAAACTGACATTGAGGTCTCTGATGTTGAACCCTGAACTACAAAACAACGTTTGCACAGGATGGTAGCAAAGTCCTGCTCTGACCATCTGAGAGGAAGGATATCAAGCCTGGAACTGGTAAATTGAATTTTCCTCTATAGCTACATTTCATCAATTCTCTTATTATGGGACGCTATCACAAACCTTTAGGGTATAAATGGGATTAAAGTTTAGGTAGCAGTAAGTGATGGGATTCCCATCTTTTAAAAAAAAAACGATGGTAATGGCTGAGTCTACTTTTCAGTGGCACAATAATTCAACTATATTATAATTTAGCAGATTTAATGTTTTAATCATTAGAATAATTGTAATTTTTTTATGGGCAGATCTCTGCATTGTAGAAAACTAAAAATGTTCACTGGAATAAATAATTGGTGTAATATACTCCCTTAAAAAATTGAGGATGTGAGATGTTGTTGCCATTCTATCTATCTATCTATCTATCTATCTATCTATCTATCTATCTATCTATCTATCTATCTATCTATCTATCTATCTATCTATCTAACTCCAACAAATACAGAGTACATAGATTGTTCAAATCATTCAAAATATCAGACACGTTGTTAGTCTGAACCTACGCTTCACCTCCTCCTGTCCTGAAAATCTGCTCTGCTTGTGTGCTGAAATAATCAGAAAGATTTCTGGTAAGCTTCACACTGCGCTATAGACAAAATACAAGAACATAGTTATGTATGTTCTGACAGTAAAATATTAAGATAGGGTTTAAGATATAACATAAATAAATAGTATTTTCTGTTATATATTTTTTGTATATCTA